TTTTTTTTTAAATTTAATTATTTTTTAATTTTAATTTTTTTTATTTAATATTTTTTTTAATTTCAATTTTTTTTTAATTTAATTTTTTTTTTAATTTTAATTTTTTTTTTGTATATACTAATATTAATGCATAGTTTGTTTACATTATTATTTTAGAGGTTTCTATTTTTTAATTTAATATTTTGTATATGTACATATATATATACTTATATGTATATAATATATTTTTTAATTTTTGCATTTCATTCGCTGCCCATTGTAAATGTGGCTTTTATTTCATGTTGCTTACAATTTACATACATATGTATATATGTATATATGTCTCTAATATATTTATAATACTTTATAAACTTTTTTGTTTTGTTTTTTTTTTTTGTCAATAACGGTGTTTGCTTTGTAAATCTACTGCTTTGCATTAATTAATTTGCAAATAAGCGTTTGCAATTAGGCTGTTCGGTGTCGCTCTTTTATGTAGGTATGTTTGTATGTATGTTTTTTTTTTCAATTTTCTTTTTTCCAACTTCTCAATTGCGTTTGTGTTATTGTAAATATGCATGTATGTATGTGTTTTATGAGAGATGTTAATCTATGTAATTTAATTAATAAACTGTAATAACATTGAAAATGTTCAATTATTTTAGATTTGCTCCAAATGCAATGTTTGAATTGTTCTATTTAATGCTGTTAAATTTTTTTCTTTTAAAACTTTATTGATTTAAGAATTATTTTTTTTTTGGGGTTTTATTTTTTTTTTTTTTTTATGCTGTTAAATTTTTTTCTTTTAAAACTTTATTGATTTAAGAATTATTTTTTTTTTGGGGTTTTATTATTTTATTGAATTTTATTATTTTTTATGAATTTTAATGAAATTTTTTATTAAAATTATTTTTTAACCATTTTAGATTTTTTTTGGAATTTTTCAAATCTATATTTGAGAAATTATTTCGAATAAAGCCAATTTAATTTTTTCATTTTCAGCCAATTTTTTTTCTTAATTTTAGCAGATAATTACAGAAAAATTATTTAATTAATTAGCTAAATTATTTAATGTGAATTTTTTTTTTATAATTTTTTGAAGCGATTTAGAGGCGTGTTGTGGACTGGTCACAATGTCACGCTTACAGCTTGAAGTTTAGGCAGCGTAGCTTGACGCTTTGGTTACACGCTCTTTTAGTAAGTCTAACCTGAATTTCTTAGGTGACTTCCTTGGACGACTTACCATAATTCCGGACCATAAGTGACTTATTTTTCTTTCCTTCAACTTATAAGCAATGTCTAAAAGATTTAATTGAAGTTTCTAAAATGGAAATTTTTATTTTTTCTAAAACTGCAACACCCTCCCCAACTGAAAATTAGTATTTTTTTATAAAAATTAAATTTTTATTATTTCGCATAAATCGCAGTTATTTTTCACTTCTTAAATGCACCAATTAATTAATGCTTTAAACGCAATTTTATTTTTGATAATATTTTGTTATTTATTTTTTTTAACCTGCGCTCAATTTTTAAATTTCGAAATAAATTAATTTAAATTAATTTTTTTAATTTTTCTATTTTTTTTTAATTTTTTATTTATAAATTTCGTACTTAAATATTGCCTTTTTATGACGCAAATGACGGAAAAAAAATAAAAAAAATAGAAAATAATAAAATAATTTTTTATATTTCTTTACTTGGAATGAAATTTATTGACTTGTTATTGTATTTTTTATTGTAGTATTTAATTTATCATGTTCATCAATTTTTGCTTAAGCAACTATTTTATTTTTAATTAATGCAAATATTTGTATAACTACTGTTAGCTGTTTGTATGTATGCATATAGATGTATAATTATTTGTAAGTTGTAATTTTTTGCATATTTTTCACGCGCCGCACTAGTGTTTAATGTACTTTAATAGACTTTTTAAAAAGCTTCAATTATTTTTGTTTTTATTTTTATTTACAAACCTGCCATCAACAAAACGCTTAGCAAATAGTTTTTTACTTTAATTTTGTATTTTCTATATTTTTAAGTTATGTGTTTTTTACTTGATACTTACATGCATTGCATTATAAATACATACATATGTATGCTGTTGTGTATGTAATTGTTTACCTGGTTATTATTGAAATCAACACCGCCACCGCATGCAAAATATGCATTTAAGCTTATTTATTTTAATTGATTTTATTTCCTAATAATCTAATAATCTAATCTAAACGTCAGCACTTTGGCTTTAATTTAATAAGAAAAAAACATACACCTCACGCTATGAAGTAGGTGTCTTCATCAGCTTTCATGAACTTTCTGAACGAAATCGGTTTTGTTATTTGATGTTTATTTACAAAAAAATTTTTTTTCTAAAGTCAGTGGAAACTTTTTCTCACCGGAAAATTGTTGTTGGGACGAAAGTTAAATATTTTTACTGTTAAAAATCAAGTATATTTCCAGAAGCGAAGATTTCATTGAACGACGACATTTTGGAAATTTTTTTATAATTTTTAAACTTTCTGCTCTCAGTGAGTTTTTTTTACAAATAAAAATCATTATAATAATAAAAAAATTTTTTAAAAAAATAATACAATAAAAATAAATTAAAAAAAAATTAATTAAAATAAAATTAGAAAATTTTATAAAAAATAATACATTGAAAAAAAAAAAAAAATAATATAAGAGAATTAAATAAAAAATATCACATTTATTATATATATGAATATAAAATAAAAATAAATGAAATATATAAACAAATTCAAAAAAAAATAATAATAATATATATAAAATTAAAGTAGAAAAAATCTCAAAAATGTAAATATTAAACAAAAAAAATAAATATTAGTTGAAAAAATAGGAATAAAATAAAACAAGTGAGAAGGACAAAGCGAAGATAGAACCGAGCATTAGTACTCAGCTGATATATACACAGATATATAAATAACTGCATTTAAACGAAAAATTTCACGTTATTAAAAAAATTTCACTCAATTCGAATGAACCATTTCAAAGTTTTATGGAAAAACCAGTCATCAAAATTAATTTTATTTCGCTTTTACAACAGATACTTTTGTAGGGTTAATAAATTGTGTTAACAGATAATGTTAGAGCGTTAACAGCTTATGTTAAAGTGTTAACATATAATGTTAAATTGTTAACAGTTAAAGTTAAAGCGTTGACAGATAATGTTAAACTGTTAACGGTTAAAGTTAAAGTGTTAACAGATACTGTTAAATCGTTAAAATTGAAGTGCACTGTTATTATCATAGCACTTTAAGATCAACATCGACGATTAGTTTTTGCGATTTCAATAATTTAATTTAATTTAATTAGCTTTGACAATCGAAATGATAAAATAAAACTGTTTTTCACCTAAACTAAACGTAATGGCCTTTTCGTTAGCTGAGTATCTGATTACCCGACTTTGAAAGAAGGACTAAAACTCAGTTATATAAATATATGGTCAAATTTGTTTCTTTTATTCGATCCTAAATCCAAAGATCGGCCAACTCAAAAAGGTCTGTTATTTGAAAGGTAGGCTTAGTCTGCAAGACTGTAAATTACCCACCAAGTTCGGCAATAAAATAATTTAAACTAAACTAAAATAATATAAAAAGAAATAAAATAAAAAGAAATAAAACAAAATAAAATAAAATTAAATTAAATTAAAATAAAATAAAATAAAATAAGATAAAATAAAATAAAAAAAGATAAAATAAAATAAAATAAAAAATAAAATAAAATAAAATAAAATAAAATAAAATAAAATAAAATAAAATAAAATAAAATAAAATAAAATAAAATAAAATAAAATAAAATAAATGTTATGCCATTCGTAAGTAATTGGCATCGAAATTGTGTTAAAATATATATGTATATATGGTTGTTCATGATCGTCGTTCTGCACATTAAATTTTTCTTGCTTTTTAAAACTTTTAGTTAATTAAATCAAATATCTAAAAACTAGTTAAACTGGATGGATTCAGGAAACCTAGTAAATAGCTACCGATGTGATGAATTTCACAACAAAAAAGTTTGTTTAAAACATATTTTTTTTCGTTTCATGAATAGTTCACTAGACAAACAAATTTGCTAAAAACATATTTTTAAAAATTCGTTTTTTTTTTACTGATAGTAAAATATGAGCTTTCAGTTTTGGACGAAATTATTTTTACTGTTGATATACGAGTTTGCATGTAAGTGTGTTGTGTTCGTACGTACATAAGTCACTGTAAAATGTGTTAATGTGTGTAGGTTTGTGTGTTTGTGTGTGTGTAAGTGTATTAAAATACATTTTTTACTCATTCGATTTGTGATTTCTTTTATATTAATTGGACGCAATAAAATTTTATTTAAACCAGTTTTTGTCAATTTTTTTTCTCTTTTTTTTTTGTTGCACATACATATAAATTTATACAGACATCAGACATACACATAATAATATAATAATAAACTGTACACAATAAATTTTTGTTGTTGTTTTTTTTTATTCGTTTATTTTTTATTTATTCCTTTTAATACACTTATGTATATATGTAGCTGCTGCGGCTGCAAATAATAAAACGATTTACACATTTTAATCACACATGCATACATAAACACAAACAAATAGGATTACATTTAATTAAAGTTGATGGAATTACATACATACACGAAATATGCTTAAGTACGTCAACTTAAGTGCCGATTAAATTTTACATACATACATACAAGTATGCAGTTGTGTAAGTTAGCGTGTAAAGAAGTAAGTATGTAAGTGAACCCAATGCGTTTTTTTCTCTAAGGATGCACTAGTTTTTAAGCTTTCAACTGCATTTTTACATGAGTTTTTTTTTGTTTTAATAAATTTTTTAATATTTTCAAATTTAATATTTTTATGCCCAACTGCTTTTTTTTGTTTTTTTGTTAAGCTTGTTATCTATGTTTTTAAGTATTTTAAAAAATTAAGATTTTGTTTTAAAATTTTTCGTTTCTAAATGCTTGTGCTTCAGCTTACTTACCTACAAATCAAGTAAAATTCTATGTTGTTTTTGGTTTTTGTTTTTTTTTTTCTTCTCTAATTTCTCAGCACGCTATTAATGCTTCTAAGCGTTTTTTTTCTCTTCTATTTATGCGCTCTTTAATCACAAATTCTGCTAATCGAACTGTTTATGTTTTTGAAATACCTTTGTTTTGCATTTTGTGTTATGTTTTTTGTTTTAAGTACAATGCTTTTTAGTTTAAGAAAAAATTACTAATTTATGTTTATTTCAATTACAGCTTTTAGTTATCTCTTTTTTGGCCGCTTTGTTACGTCTTTGTTTGGGTTTGAGTGAGAACTACATTTTTTTCTCTTTTATTTCTGTGTCACTAAAACTATTTAACTTTTACTTTTGGTTGTTTTTTAATGCTTCTCATAAATTTATATCGGCTTTAATTAAAAAAATCTCTTTAAATTCTATTAAATACTAGATTAAGAACTTTCAGCGTAACTTTAAATTTTAAATTTTTATAAGTTGAATTTTTTATTTTAAATTTTATTTTATTTACTTTTATTATTTTTTACTCTTATTTTTTTAATTTTGACATTTTTGGTTTTTAATGTTTTTTTCTTTCTTTTTTTTACTAAACTATTCGTAGCATAGTCTCGCTCTAACTGTTTATATTTTTAACTGTGTATAAGTACATTTTTTGCGACTGCTGCCTGTAATCCTAAGTAAAAAATTTGCACAGAAATGAAAACATAATTTTCACCTAACCTATGAAAGTCTAATAAAACTGAAATGAAAGAACTCGTGTTGATTCTCTAGCGTACACGTGTACATACAACGTTCGGCTAAAAAACTGATAGCAAATACCGCTACGTTTATTAAGTTATATATTTTCATCTATTAAATTTACTGAATTATTTCTTTTTTCCTTTTTTTTTTTTGAATTTTTGTCACTACAATTTTTCATACGTATTTATTTATAATTTATTTGACATTTTTCTTCTTTACACTAATTTTGTTTAACATTTTAAGTCCTGCTTATTTGCAATTTGGCCTTATTTTATACACAAATGTAGTTGTTGTTATTGTATCATACGTTATTTTTCTCTTCAAAATTAGCCGCGCTTTGTTTATATTTTGTTAAGTCGTCAGAGTTGTTGGCTTTAAGTACGTGTTATGTCAGTTTTGGGAATTTACTTTAGCGGTGGCTTACAACAGCACCTCCGTCGCTCTTAGTAACGTTGTTGGTACTCGTGATGCCAACGATTGAAGTCGATGTGAAAGACGATTATCGAGCCGGTGGAGAGGCCAGCAAGGAGATATCTGAAACGAGGAGAGGAAATACAGAAGAAAAATTTAAAATGACACTCATTATTTTGTATGCCTTTAAATAATAATAAATATACATATACATATATATCTAAAATTAACAGGAGCAAATTAAGCAACCAAAATAAAACAAAATAAAACAACAAAAATTAAAAAAAAAATAAATAAAATAAAATAAAATAAAATAAAACAACAAAAATTTAATAAAATAAAATAAAACAAATTAAATTAAAATAAAATAAAATAAAATAAAATAAAATAAATTAAAATAAAATAAAATAAAATAATATAAAATAAAGTAAACTAAACTAAAATAAAATAAAATAAACTAAAAAAAAATAAATTAAAATAAAATTAAACATAATAAAATAAAAAAATTTAATAAAGGAAATTATAAAACAATTAGGTAAAATAAAACTAAATAATATTAAATTAAGTAAAATGAAATAAAATAATTGAAATAAAATAAAAGAATACTACCAAACTAAAATAAAAACAAAACAAAAAAAAATAAAATGAAATAATATAAAATAAAATAAAAATATAATATAAAACAAAATAGAGTAAAGTAAAACGAAATAAAATTAAATAATATTATATGAAATAAAATAATAAAGAAAAGAAATTGAATACGCTAAAATAAATTAAAATAAAATAAAAAAATTATGTCAAACAAAACGAAATTAAAATAAATTTAAGCCAAATAAAGTAAACTAAATAAAAAATTAAATAATTTAATAAAATAAAACAAAAAAATATAAAGTTAATTAATATAAAATAAAATAAAATAAATTAAAAACATTTAAATAAAATAGAAATAAAAAAATGAAATAATTAAAATAAAATGAGAATAAGCAAAATAGAACAGAAAAAATAATAAACTAAAATAAAACAAAATTAAATTAAATTAAAAAAATAATATACAGTTATATAATTTAAAACTAAATTAAATAAATAAATGAATATATATATATATATATATATATTAGATAAAATAAAAATGAAATGAAATAAAAAAATAAAATAAAATATTATAAAATTAATAAAACAAAATAAAAGTAAATAATATTACATTAAGTAAAATAAAATAAACCAAAATCAACTCAAATAAAGTAAAATTAAAGAAAATAAAAGAATTGCATTAAATGAAAATTTAAAGTGAAACAAAATTAAATACAATTTAATGTAAAATTAAAGAAACATTTCATTACATGATAAAAATATTAATTAATATATTGAAATAAAATTAGATATATAAAATAAAATAAAGTAAAGTAAACTAAATCGAAACAATTAAAATTAAATATTATTAAATTAAATTTAAAAAAGTTATTAAGAAAACAAGTTAACATTAAATAAAATAAAATACAAATAACAAAATAGTAGACAAATTTGAACTAAAAGAAATGTTTAAAATAATTTAATAGATTTAATTATCGAACCAAAGAACAAAACGTTGACGATCACATTGCATACCACCCGTTTATTGCACGCACACAAATTGTAACCTCATAGACCAAAAGCATTCTCACTGGTACTGGGATCAAGGTGTAAAACTCCCCCTCTTGTGATGCTTTACGCCCATATCCACAACACGCGGAGTTATGGATAGGGTCCTGACAACAACAAATATACCATTTATCGTATTAGTATAAGGTCTATTTCAGAAACAATTCATGAGGAGGTGATCCGTAACCCCCTCTTTCTTGGAATGCCGAGATCGCCAACTTATACGCTTGGAAAATTTATTATTAAAATTGAATTTTTTGCAAAATTGCTCATGAGAATTGAAGGCAAAAAGAATAAGAAACGAAAGTAACGTTATCATATGCAAAACCAAGCCCTACCGTTAAAGCTTTGACAGCATACATACAAGTATGTATATATGTATGTGCACATATGTTTTATACTAACATCCAAACAAGCAAAATAAGGACGATCACAAATGCACTCTAACGTAAATCATACCACATGGATGTTACTTAGAACAATGCGTGGAAGGAGAGAGCCGACCCGCTCCCACGCCTTGCTCTTTTTCCACTTGGAGTACGAGATCGCCAATTTCCACGATTGGAAAAATTATTATTCAAATTAAGTTTTAGCAGAATTGCTCATGAGAATTAAAGAGGGAAAAAATGAGGAACGAAAGTAACATATTTATATGCAAAGCCAAGCTCTACCGTTAAAGCTTGGACAGCATACATACAAGTATATATGTGTATTGTGAAAATATGTTTTATACTAAGAATAATCCAGTAAAAATTTTGGCATGCACTAATTAAAAGGGAAATTTTTTTTTTGATGACGGTATGTCTTCAAATTTAAATAAAATGATCTTAATATTTAAAAATATTTATTTTTATTCTGGCCGTGTTGGAAGCCGGCAAATTAGTTGAAAACTCGAAAGCGAGACTTCGCTTCTGTTAATCCTTAATTTAAAGTTTTAATTTTTAGACAAAATACTCTCGACTTCTTCAAGCCGTTTTATTTTCTCATGCTAACAAACCAAAAAAGGACGATCACAAATACAATCCACCATTAGTCCACCCCAGAAGATGGATGTTATTATCACAGAGAACAAGGCACGCTATATTCGCCTATCACACTATGCTTATATATTTCTTAGCCTATAATAATTGACTTTTCTGTCATCGAGGGGAGTTACTTTTCTTGGAGGGTTTACGAACCATCAACTGCTTGGATTGCGAGATCGCCAATTTCCACGCTTGGGAAATTTTCTATTCGAATTGTGTGTTTGGCAAAGTTGCTATTGCGAATTGAAGAGAAAAAAATTGAACGAGGAAACAAAAGCTTCAATGAAAATATACAAATATAAAATAGATACAAATATAATATTTTTATTACCAAAAATAATTAAGAATTAATATTATTCGGTTATTAGAAGGGAACAAAATGTCGGCAGAACTTAATTTTTATTTCGAATCATTTTAATATCTCACTTGCAAAAGCTGAAGTGAAAATCGTCGAATGAGTATGACTACTACGTGTAAATAGCGTTAAAGAAAAATGTAGATTGACAATTGTGCCTAAAATTATATCACGCATTTTATGTTTATCAAAAACAATAACAATTCTTCCAATAAATTTGTGTCCTATACTGATTTATTTCTTCTATGGATTATTGTATTTGTATCAAGCAAACAGCCGTTGCACTTACGGCTTGGCTCCCACGTCACTGTTGGCAGTCATAATTTTGTCTCTCTGAGGACCAGCATCAACATCAATAATAGTGTCATCCTTGAAATCTAAAGCAAGCTAAATACGTTTTTCGTACCTTGGAAGCATCAGGGGGAAAACGGTTTGATTTCGAACAGCGCATTGGCCAGAAAAGTGTAATCGGTGCTCACGACAATGAGGAAGAGAAAGAAAAAATTGCATTTGCATCTCTGTCGGTGCTTGTGGAAATTCGGGAACCGAGTCTTGCACGAAAGCACACGAAATTATTATTACACAAAAGTATTTCTTGGAAATGAGAGTTGTAAAACCTATTCTACCCATCGGAAATAACCATACAAAAAATTATAATCGAAAACACTGTTAAATAAAAAATAATGCAAAATAAAATTGATGGAATCAAAAAATGAAAAATATAAAATAAAAAATAATATAGAAAGTTAGAAACAAAAATATAAAATAAAAACAAATAAATTAATATTAAATTAAATTAAGTTAAGTTAAATAAATTAAAACGAAATAAAATAAAATAAAAAAAAATAAATTAAAATAAATTAAATTAAAATAGAAATTAAATAAAAGAATAAAAAAATATAAAACAAAATAAAATAAAACAAAAAAATTAAATTATATTAAGTAAAATAATTGAAAATAAAATAATATAAAAAAATGTAATAAAATAAAATAAAATAAAATAAAATAAAATAAAATAAAATAAAATAAAATAAAATAAAATAAAATAAAATAAAATAAAATAAAATAAAATAGAATAAAATAAAATAAATTAAAATACAATAAAATAAAATAAAATAATATAAAATTATAAAAAAAAAATAACAGAAATTAAAGAAAATAAAATAAAAAAATAAAATAACAAAAAAAAATAAACTAAAATAAAAAAATTAAATAAAATAAAACAAAATAAGAAAATGAAATAAAACAAAATAAACTAAAATAAAATAAAATCAAATAAAATTAAAAAAATTTAATTAAAATATATCTAAATAAAATAAAATAATATAAAATGAAATAAAATAAAATAAAATACAGTAAAATTTTTTAAAATCAAATTAACCTGAACAATATAAACAAATAAGAATGATAAAATATAATATAGTATAAAATAAATAAATGTGAATTAAATTAAGTGAAGTGAAGTTAGGGAAAATAATAAGTTAAAACGAAATAATATAAATCAAGATAAAATAAAATAAACAATTAAAAAAAAAATAAAATAAAATAAAATTAAACAAAATAAAAATAATAAAATAAAAAGAATAAAATAAAGCAAAATAATATAAAATAATATAAAATGCAATGAAATGATCTAGAGGATTACTGCATTTTAGGCCATAGTGACAATTTTGGGACACAAATAATTGAAGAGATTGGGAAAAAAGCCATATGTACATAAATTTCGAGGAAGATGAAATCGTTTATCGGCTTGCAATATCGCAAAAATGTACAATGTGCAATGGCAGCAAAACTGGCGCGCACTTTTTGTTACTCGGTAACCGCTTAATTATGCGCGAACTAATAATGGGCCTAATGACAAGCTACCTATTGGCATCAGCAGCGCACAGACATGACAGGTTGCTAATAATCCTTTTCCAACCTAGTACGCATAACTGAATCAACAAGTATTCAAGTATGTACGTCCATATGTAATCAATTGTTTAGAGATCAGCCTTTTCATAAAAAACTCATTTTCAAAAGTTCCAATAATTATCTCGAAATCGCAAAAAATTATGTTTAGAAATTTACTTCATCCGTAAGCATAATGACAATTATAAAAAAATACAAATAAATATAATGGAAAAATCCTTTATGTTGCATTTTTGAAGTGAAATTGAGTCCACTTCTTCAAACCGTTTTCTTTTTTGTTTTTGTCATCCTTTCCAAGTAATCAAAATACGGACGATCACAAATGTACTTCTCCCAATGAACCATTTGTCACCGCAGATGTTGTTGGTGGTGTTGTTCTATAGACCAAAGCCTGGAATTTGTACAGGTTGCTTACCAATAGCCCTGCGCAAATTCCAGACTTTGGTCCCTCTTACCTAACTTATGGCTATTATTGTCTACGAAATGATATGTCATAGATATAATTCATTTAAGGTATATTTCGACCTTTTCCAACTGAAGTACGGGATCGCCAATTTTGTCGCTTGAAAAACTTTGTATTTAAATTGAGTTTAGAAAAATTGCTGCTGCGAATTGAAGGAAAGAAAAAAAGAAACGAAAGTAACGTATGTACTTGGAAAAAAACTACGAAAAAACAATGATATTAAATAATTTTAATTATAACTAATCAAAATAAAACAAAAAATAAAATAAAAAATATAAAAGTGAAGAAAAAAATAAAATAAAATAAAATAAAATAAAAGTGAAGAAAAAAAAATAAAATAAAATAAAATAAAATAAAATAAAATAAAATAAAATAAAATAAAATAAAATAAAATAAAATAAACTAAAATTAAATAAGATAAAATAAAATAAAATAAACAAAAATTGAAATAAAATAATAAAATAAAAAAATAAATTAAAATGTAAGGAAATTTTATGAAAATATGAATTAAAACAAAATAAAATCAAATAAAAAAATATAAAAACAATATAATCAACTAAGTCGAGTAAAATAAAATAAAATGAAATGGAAAAAAATGAAATAAAATAAAATAAAATAGGATAAAATGACAAATGTCAAATAAATTAAAATTTAAATTAATTGAAATAAAATAAAAGAAAAAATGAAAATGTCCTCAGAAACTTGAATCCTGAAATGAGGGGAATGCAAAGAAAAAATGCATATCTCTTGAATATTGCGATAGAATGACAACTGAAACCCTACATAAATAAAATACGTTTGAGGAAAAATGGTTTAACGGTTAACAAAATAATGAAAAAATATTTAAGTAAAATAAAATAAAATAAAATAAAATTAATGAAATATAATAAAACAATATTCGTATATAAAGTTGTTCTCGAAAACCGGAGCTTAACTTCGGTTACACTTGAACTTTATGTTGCTATTTTAAAGCGAAATATGCTGCACTTGCTCAAACCGTTTTCTTTTTCGTTTTTCTCATCTCATTCAAGTAAATAATAATAAGTAAGTAAAATACAAACGATCACGAATGTACTTCCACAATGAACAATCCGTGGTGGAGTTTTATAGACCAAAGCCTGAAATTTGCACAAGAAACAACAGAACCAAGTACAAATTCCAGACTTAAGTCCATTACCTTTTATCGCTTTTATTGTCAACGTTGATTGTCTTAGTTACAGAAATAATTAAGGGAATATTCCGACCTTTTCAAATTGGAGTACGGGATCGCCAATTTTCACGCTTGCAAAATTTGATATTCAAATTGTGTGTTTGACAAAGTTGCTACTGCGAAATGTAGAAAAAGATATATGAGCCAAAAGGAAGTACATTTACATATATGCAACAACAAAAGCTCTAATGAGAAATGTTCTGTATAATTACAGCTTTGACCGAATAAATACAAATATGTTCTTTTGTTAAAAATAATTTTGAAAAACTATTACTATTCAGTTATTGTAAGTGAAGAAAATCATATTTTTTGTTGGCTGGAGATAATCTGTATTTGAAATAATTTTAATATCTGGCATACAACAGCAATAGTGAAAACCGTCTTGAGCTGCGATTATAGAGAGGTGCATATTGGCAAATGCGCCTAAAAGTATATTACGCATTACAAATTAAGCTAAAATTATTTTTCTCGCCTTTGCTTGCCTGAAACTGCTTTATTTTCTTCTGTGAAATATAAACATGTGAATCTTTCACAACAGACTTTCACATTTCTTTGCTTTTGCACATGCAAAAAAAAGTTCGGATTTATTTTAACGAAAAATCAAAAGCTTCAATTTTAAATATAAACACCAACAACTAAGGTATTCTGAATAGAGAAGCTGCAATTTTCTATAAGATTGTGCAGCTCCTGGCGTACGCCTTTAATATAACCATCATTGGCTTTCAAAAACAGCGTTAACTTAGCCTTCTACGGACTGAAAGCCTTCTCTCTACCAACAAAGGCCAAACACTACAATTCGCTAGTCATACCCGGCTTGCCATTATATTTTATATTTAGTGCGGAGGTATGGTCGGGTTGGGTGTTCTAGAATTTACTCGCGGTAAGAGGCACCTAAAACCCAATAGTTTCAGTGACAGTCGAGTATTCATACCGTAGCGGATATTAAATAAAAGTTTTACTTACTTTTGATCATGTGTCAATGACAACGAACGAATGGCTGCATTGCAAGCTGGGAAGGCGTAAAGAGGTGCCAAGTTGAATGTACGCCAAACTTCCACGATACCGTGATCGCCAGCAGTCATTAGATATTCACCATCGCGTGAAAGCAGCATGCACTGGAAATAAAAATTTTGAAAGAAAGACATAAAAGAAGTGAGTTAATAAACATGTGTATGTTAAAACTATTTTATCGTTGATAAAATTTCAACAGGAGTTATGTCTGTTCTTGAGACAGTCATAAAATCTTTCACGTTTGTATAAATATTAAGCGCTGTGGCGCCCAGACTCAACGTTAATATTAATTTTGAAATGGTTGCTTGATATGTCAATAACAACACAATTAAATTTTAACGTTCACCATTATCTGTTAACGTCTTAACATTATCTGTTAGCGTCTTAACATTATCTGTCAACGTTTCAAAATTATCTGTTAACGCCTTAACATTATCTGTTATCGTTTTAATATTATATGTTAACGTTTTAAAATTATCTGTTAACCCTTCAACATTATCTGTTAACGATTTAACATTATCTGTTAATGCCTTAACATCATCTGTTATCGTTTTAGTCTTATCTGTTATTTAACATTCTCTGTTAAAGTTTTACATTATCTGTTAATAGTTTAACATTATCTGTTACGCCTTAACATTTTCTGTTAACGTTTTAAAATTATCTGTTAACGTTTTAGTATTATCTGTTAACGCCATAACATAATTTGTTAAGGTCATTATCTGTTGACGACTTAACGTTATATTATCTGTTAACGATTTAACATTATCTGTTAATGCCTTAACATCATCTGTTATCGTTTTAGTCTTATCTGTTATTTAAGATTCTCTGTTAAAGTTTTACATTATCTGTTAATAGTTTAACATTATCTGTCACGCCTTAACATTTTCTGTTAACGTTTTAAAATTATCTGTTAGCACTTTAACATTGTCTCTCCCTTAGTTTCATATGTTTTGTGCTTTCTTCGACTCACCTGCAAGTTATCATTGTGGGTCTCGTGTCTCAGCTTCTTGCCATTAATGGTATACGCAGCTACATTGCCCTTATCGTAATTGACAACAATAAAGCCCTCACGAGACATGGCAATCAATTCAGGTGAATAGAAATCCATTGGCGGATCAAGTGAGCGCAAGAGATCACCGAATGTGGTGTGTATGAGAACAGGACCGTCTAGAAAAAAGAGAGAAGACAGAGAAACAAACATAAATTTTCGATGTTTTCTGGGAGTTCTTATGAATATGCAATATGTATAGAGTAGGGAGGTGCGACTGTCTATTTTTATTTAGCTTTATTACTCACTTGTTGATCCCGACACGACTAAGCCCAGCTCAGCGCTAATCACAACCGAAGTTACAGCTTGCTCGTGGCCCGTTAGCGTAGCACGCGGTGTTGGTACGTCACCTTCGCCAACAATGCTTTGGGTACGAGCATTCCAATGCCACAGTAGAACCGTGCAATCCGCCGAACCCGAAGCGATATAACAGTCCGATGTAATATTGCATTCGGAGCGTGCCAAACAGGTGACTACACCGAAATGGCCAAATACGATTTGCACAATTTTGGCTGGAAAAAAAATTAAAATATGGAGAAAAATGTTTATGAGCTTAATTATATCTGCTCGTTAGGAGTCTAGGAAGAGTTCCGTATCCTTGATCTTTCAATGACTTACCAGTTTCGGTAGCAAAGACGCGGAAGCTGTTGTCCCAGAATCCACAAGCAATCAAAAAGCGACTGTCCACAGTGGTAACGAAACAATTGGAGCGTATCTTCAGCATCTGACTGAAGTTGTCGCCCAAGTGACGACGATTCATTGGGTTATTGTGACCGCTATTTTGTGCAGCTGTGAAACGAAGGTCAAAACATTACTTTAGAGAAAGACATTCCTTAAGACATGTGTAACTTACAAAGCACTGGATCGATGGTCAACGGCAAATTGGAGCCGGGCGATTGTGGCGATTCTGCATAGCTGGGACTCTGGACGGATGCGGTGTAATTGCAATTCCACCGGTTGACGGCAAACTGATGACCCGCAGTCACGGTTACCACGGATGGCAATGATAATTGCGGATACGTGTTGGCGGAGATGTGTATAATTGGTGAGTTCTGATAGAATTTCAGTGACATACACAAATCATCGGGCATGGCGCTGAACATCATTGGCGACAAGTGCATTGCTGAGCTGCGTGGTGGATGCGGTTCCATAAGCAATTGGCTCGGTGTTTGACCGAAATTACGTATTTGATTTTCAACTGCCTCGCGCATAACTGGATCGCTGATAGCATCCAAATCTACGCTACCCTCATAGGTTAAGTAGTAGAAGACATTGGTGGCGCGTATAGCTTCGGGTCCACGTTGCTTGTAACCAAAAATCAAATCGATCCATTGATGTAGTTGGCACGAAACGAACTCAGATTCCAAAGCCATGCGATTGATGCGCACAAATTCTTCGGGGCTCTTAGACCATGGCGGCAGCTCGACATCGTTTACAAGTGTGCCGTCCTCGCGATGACCCAGGCGATAGCTGGATGAATTGTAGAACATTTCCGGCAAGAAATACCATTCGGGTATCAGTTCCTTAACATCGGATGTGTCACGTTGGCAGTTCTTCCACGACAAGGAGATGGATGAGAACAAACGATCGGGATAATCGAATTTACCGCCTTGTAATGCTAAGAACATGGTGGTGAAGGGCTCCACACGCACCAGCCAATTAAGCGTGAAACTTGAGGTTGAGTAGTGTGTGCCGTAATGGAATGGCGGTATGGTATCGCTTTCCCACGTCTCGTAGCGTTCCTCGAAGTAGGCGCGACGTGAGGGATTTAGTGCGCCGATCGGTTTCGAAAGATCGCGATAGTTCGAAGGCAGACTGAGGTCCAGTTCTTTTGTGTCATAATTGGTGAGTACCCACGGAAAGACCGGGTACTGATTGAGGTCATTATATGTGCGTCCAGCAATCGTGTTGAGGAACATTAGATACTCGAAGTTGGAGATTTCGCGTCGTTGCCACTTCTGTGTCATGTTAGAGTTGCGCATGAGTTGACGGGGCGCCATCATTGAAGCACGACGTGTTTGTGGTATGCCATATTTGATGCCGACGCCAACACGTGGTAAAGCTTTAATTACTTTCTTTACGGTGTGTTGATCGGGAAAAGCAAAGAGTATGGAGGTGCGACTGGCTAGGAAAATTTCCAATGCCACATTCTGCAGTAAGTAGCGACGTGAGAATATTGCGCGTACTTCCGAGAAATACCACTTGCCGTGTAAGTGATCGCAATACTTCAGCACTTCGGTGTCGACCTTCTGAAACTCTGGATTATCTTCATCCACTTCAAAGAACATTTCTGTGCTGGTGATAGATACAGTGCCAGGTGCGACGACACCGGGTGCAATAAGTTTCGCTTTCGTGCTTATATTAACTGGTCCCGTCAGGTCTAGATCTAATTCGCGATCCTCAATCAACAGTTCAGCATCGTCCAACAGGTCGGCCGTATGCTGGCTGGCCTGATGACTGCGTGTCACTGCAATCTGTGTGTGAAATTCATCACGCGTCTGTAGAATAGCATCCTCGGGTACGCCATTTTCAATGGCTGCCTTTAGTGTGGCCTGTGGATGTGATGAGCCGCGTGGATTTTGCACCATTCGTTTGCGTCGGCGTGCATCATCCTCCCAGGCATCTAATTTCCAGAATGTCGGTTTTTGCACAGTGCCGCTGGCATCACCCCAGGCACCGTGTCTATTGCACATAATATTTCGCACCTTTTCCAATAGTCGACTGGCAATCACATTGTCGCGTCGCCGTGCCGCAGTGATCAGATGGTCACACATGCGCTCCTCTTCGCGTCGCTCCAATAGCGTTTGGGTACATTGTGACTCGAAATCGGCATGCTTGAGCACATCATCGGCACGCATACGATTCAATATGAATTCCGCCTCATTGGCGACGCGCACAATGTGATCCTTCATGGCGTGCGACAACAAGCGACCCTCATTAATCAATTCAATAAACGCCAAGCCGGCATGCTTCTGCAAGCTATTCTGCCATTCTTGCGAGCACAACAACATCACCAACTCCACAACGGAATGCGAATTTTTGAACGTGGTCAAGCCCTTGCCCTCCATCAGCAGCTCCTGACCGTGTGAGCCAACTAGCGTTTTCGAAAGGAACGGCGCAAAGTCAACCATTATTTCACGTAGCAATGGACATACCGGACCCAATGCCACCTCCAATTTCTGTGTAAGGCTCGCCTCACGCGAGGGCGTTGTCATCGGCAGCTGGCCAACGAGTGGTGGTTTCATTTGTAGCTCATCAGAGCGTGTGCCACGCTGACCCACATTGCCGGCAGCCGTGGCAACGCCCGCACCTGAAGCGCCGGATGTTGCCGCATAGCTATCCGGTACGCGTACCACCGATATTTCCGAATCGGGTTTGTCGCCGCGTTCGCCGCCCGCCGCACCTACCAATTGATGCGCTACACCGTGATGTGCTTGCATTTGCTGTGCACTCTGCGGTTGACCGTGTCCTGTTGCTGCTTGTTGTTGTTGTTGCTGTGACTGCTGCTGATGCTGGTGCTGATGCTGCGGATGTGTTTGATGTTGCAAACTGTCGATGTCACGCAACTTCCCATCCACCGCTGACATACCGCCGCCTGACAATAAACCACTTGCGGTGGCCTGCACACCGGCATCCTCATTCAAATTGACATCTGTCCAGCTTTCGTCGTTCGAATTGGTTGGTTTGTTGTCATCGGCCAGAATTTCACTCGACGATTCCACTTCAGGAACTTCGTTCTCCGTTGAATTCATGTTCAACGAACCGACATCGGAGTCGACACTCTGCGTTTGCCGGATGTGAGTTTTAATTATTTGTGCCATTGTTGTTGTTGTTGTTGTTGTAGTTGTTGATGATGATGCGACATTGTTTTGTTGTTTTTGGTGTAAAACGCATTGTGCGGTTGATGTTGGTTTGGCGTGAGTTGCGTAGCGCCGAGTGGTGGTGAAATGGTGAAATTGAAATGTTGCGTAGTTGAAGATTAAAAGCGTTTGTCGTTGTTGTTGTTGTTGGCAAAATTTTGTTTCATTTGTTTTTTTTTTTTGAATTCACGCGGAATTTGTCATTTCCGTCGGTTGCGTAGGCGTTTTGTGCGTGACATGGCAAATGTCATGGTGTGTGTGTGTATGTGTGTGTGTGTGTGTGCGTGTGTACAAAGTGTTGGCAAATGAGAAAAAGTAAAAAATATTAATTAGTGATTAATTCGATAACAATATCAACAACAATTGTTGTAGGTGTTTTGTGATTGATGAATTGCTTGCTGACGACATTGACAATTGCGTTGTGTGCTTTGTGTTAGGGAAATGAAAAATGAACAACAACAAAGTTACATAATCTGATACGTTTCACTATATATTGCACATATGTAGATGTACGAGTATTTATATAAATATACGAAGTATATAATACTAAAACACTACCTAATTAAATGAAAGAGAAAATTTAAAAGAAAAAATAATGCGTGGAAAATGCCAGACAGAACCCAAACATCCATCGAATACATTGAAATCAGGCAGGGATATGTACTATTATTTGTTAGCAGCATTTTTATTTATTTAATTTATATATATATTTTTTATTTTATTTTTCCTTAACTATGTTTTCATTTTAAATGCTTTTAAAATTTAAATTTTTCATTGATTTGTTTTTTATTTTGTATGAACAGCAACAACACATATTTTTTTCTATTTTTTTGTTGCTGTTAATTTCAATTTATACTAAATTTTAGTTGAAGTTCACTGACTTACAATCAATTGAGCCCAACAGTTAATCCTACTTATATTACACACACAATTAAAGCCTGAAAGTATGCAGCATTACAAGGCAATTCACTAATCAAGCTGTGAAGCCCAATAGCGGCTAAAAAATGTGTGCACTTAACAGTTGTTGGTTAGTAAATGATTTGAATATTACAACAAAAGCTTACATGGCTGAAGTGGGCGGCACAATGGTAGAGCACTCGCCTTTTATGTCAGCAACCGTTGGTTCGATCACTGCTAGAAGAAGTCTGCTGAGGAGATGTGGTGATCTCCGAAGCAGTAGTGCTATCTTCTAACATTTTTTTTTTGTCATAAAAGAAAATGTGCAATTCGCAATAAGTAAAAGCTCTTTAGTTAAAGCTCTCATTGGCATTTAAATAAATTAAAAATAAAAACAAAAAAGTGGCAACACTTCCCAAGTGTTTATATAAGTTGTTGTTGTTGTTAGCTAAAATCTGATTTGCTTTACTTGCCACTTTGGACAGAAATTTATTCGAAAATATTTTCACCAAAGACTTTTTACACAATCGGATATTGCCATATTAAAAAAAAATAAAACTTTCCAAGTAAACAAATTTCAGCACAAATATATTAAGAATACGCTTACCTTTATATATTTTAATACATCAAAAATTAAAAAAAAAATTGTTGGGTATGTCATTAAATATTTCACAAAGGTGGCAACATCTTAAGACAAAAAAATTGTTTGGTATGCCATCAAGAACTTCCCAATGGTGGCAACATCTTAAGAGTAAAAAAATTTTTTGGTATGCCATCAAAAACTTCACAAAGGTGGCAGTATGCCATAAAAAATTATACAAAGGTGGCAACATCAAAGACAAAAAAATGTTTGGCACACATTTTAATTTTAATTTCGTTTATTTTTTTAATTTTATTCTATTAAAAGCTTCAAATAAGTCGCTGAACTATCCGAATATAAATAATTATATATATTAAAAGATATTTTATAGATTGAAAAAATTTAAAAACACTCGGCAACTCTCCAAAAAAAAAAAATATTTCTTAAACAGTTTTACTTTGGCAGTCAAATTTTTTAAATTTATATATTTTATCGATTTTATTAAATTAAAAATTTAAAAAAAATTGGCAACACTTTTTAATAAAATATTTTAGCCCGTTTTGATAAACATTTTTTAAAAATTTACCCTTCCAGGTTCACATCCCGGAGAGAAGAGTAGTGTTCCTCCTAACCTTAGCAAAAGCTAGCTATATAACGAATTTCATGTAATTCGGACAGTTCGATTCCTGATCCACCCATGCACTGAAATTCAACTAAATCAAACCATTAATATGATTTTTTTTTTTCTAATGGGCCACTTCTTAGTAAAAAGAGTAGTCTGCCTGCTGATCTAATCAAAACGCCACCTACCAACTACCAAATTTATATTTACTATTCAACTTTACAGAGCCCTAATAGAGGACAAGTTTGTTGAAGAAAAATTCATTTGCCGCGTGAAACTCATTCGGTCAAGCCAAGAGACTTATCTCTAGTGCCTTGAGCCCAATTAGATTTACAGTGATACGGTTTGATTGACTGGGCCTTCGAACAAGATTAGCTTTGCGCAGAAATAAAACGACGTCATCTCGTTATGTTAATATGATAACTAAATATGTTTTTTTTTTTTTTTTGGTTTTAGTTTTTTGGTACTGTCCCAGATCATATATTTTTGGGAATATGTGAAAAAATTACAACAACAGTTTTGCAGGATAGAAGTTGTTTTTGTTTCCTTCCGGCGCCATGTTGTCGAAATGTAATTAAGTTGCCGCCCAGACTCAACGTTAATGTTAAATTTATAATGGCTGCTTCCTATGTTATTAACAGCTGGGGTGTCTATGAACGGTTTAAAATTATGAGCAAATGCCTTTACATTATCTGTTAACGCTTTAATGTTATCTGTTAACGCTTTAATATTATCTGTTAACGCTTTAATATTATCTGTTAACATTATCTGTTCACGTTTGACATTACATGTTAGCGGCTTAGCATTATCTGTTAACGTTTTAAAATTATCTGTTAACGTTTGACATTATATGTTAACCCTTCAACATTATCTGTTAACGTTTGACACTATTTGTTAACGTTACACATTATCTGTTAACGTTTTAACATTATCTGTTAACTTTTGACATTATCTGTTAGCCCTTCAATTATATCTGCTAACGTTTGACATTATCTGTTAACGTTTGACATTTTCTGTTAATTCTTCAACATTATCTGTAAACGCTTCAACATTATCAGTTAACGCCTTAACATCAACGACCGCGTTTTGTATCGGTTAAAAACGAAATAAAATTTATTTTCCTAACTGTTTTAACGATAACATTTCGAAATGTTTCAACCGAAACGATTGAAATTTTTCGATTAATGTGAAATGTTTTGTTGGTTTCACGAATAACTTCCAAGTGCTCCAAGTGCAGTTTGAAGTTGAGTAAATTTTTGGTAGGCAAAATTGCTTAAGAAGAAAGCTCCTCCATTTGGGAGAAAGATATTATTTTTTATTTGTAAAAAAAAATTTTTTAACGAAACTACTTGTCCTCAATGTAGTACAAATAAAAAAGAAATTATGAAAACCCTCTTTTGGCAAACTAAATCAGCGTCAGCATCAATATCGGCATGCTAGCTACAGTCTGTCCGTCAGCTCATTAATTACTCACCAATCGAAAACCAGAAATCGCTGCACAAATCTATGGCGATAATTTGAATCTGCTTGTTGTTAAATTACCATTGGTATTGCTGTTATTGTTGTTAACTTTGCATAGTCAACAATTTAGGAGCGGCAATTAAGCAACCGCAACTTAAATGCATCCATCATTCCTCACCAGATATGGAGACAATTAACAGTTACACTAACACCATGACAGACATATGTTGACATCTGATAATTAAGCACATGCATATATATGGTATGTGAGATATAGTGTAACATAATTTACATATATGAATGAGTGCTGAGTTGTGTAATTAAATGTACTTACACGAGGGTTGCTACTCATATTAGATCAAGTAAAAAGTAATCCATTATTTTTTGCAATAGGTGACTTTAGTAATCTGAATCACGCGTTTTATAAATGCGAAGGGATTACACAAGATGGCGGTGGAAAAACAATATTTCGTACTAAAAAATGCAATAGAAGAAATGTTGATCAATTAACTCGTTGGCATTTGAACGCATACCAAAGATGGCATACCAAAGACTGTCGGAATAGTCGCTGAAATAATGGAAATCGTCGAGTTTGGTCATCACATGAGCACTGTTTCGATTCTCCAGAAGCTAAATACTGCGCAGAAAATAGTTTGGAACTACTTGAAATGGACTGGATACACAAAAAAAATTCCATATATGAGTGTCGCATGGGTTAACGTGAAAAAACTTCATGGGCCGTACTTCCAACTGCGAATCGCAGCTGAATCAGCGAAGCGAATGTTGAGTGGTGATTAAAAGTGGATCACTTACAGCAACGTCGAAGGAAAATGATTGTGGTCGAAGGGCAATGAGCCGACACAAGTGGTCTCCAAGCCAGAACTGACGTTCAGAAAGGTTTTGTTATATATTTAGTTTGATTGGGCACGAATCATTCACTGCGAGTTGCTCTTCTACCGCTAAACTTTTACATCGGAACTATAAAGCCAGTAATTAGAACTTCTGAAATCACCCAGAAGCGCCCAGATTTGGTCGCAGGAGGGAAGCTGTGTTATATCAGAACCGCACCAGATGATACACATCGTTAGTGACTCGCTAGTTGCTCTGAGAGCTGTGCTGGGAGGTTCTTATGCATTCAACTTATAGTCCGAACCACGCACTAAGATATTACCATCTTTACGAGGCTATGTCGAATGATTTGACTGATGAAGGATAGGCCTCAAGAGAAGTTTTTTGTCAACAGGCACAAGGATTTCTATGAGAGCAGCATGGCATTACTTTAAAAATTGCAGAAACTTATAGAGCAAAAGGATACATATTTGACATAAATCGCCTAATTCTAGCCTATTCAACTAGTCTGGGAGCACATCTGGTGTAGTCATGCGCCACCTAGCGATTATATGCTAAATTTGGCCGCCCAATTTTAAGTGGCTGAGAGCGATGAGGATATGAGTTCACTACGTAATGATTCAATTGAGATATAAATTATAAATACTCTTCTTCTCTTATAGGTTTTTGTTAAAATTAGAAGCGTACGGTGCTTCAAAGGTCTGCCAATGTCTAATCGTATGGGAAAGATACCGAGAGTAGAGTACGTAGAGTATAAAAACCTGACCTTCTCGAGTAACGTTTTAACATTTTTTATGAAAAAATGCCATGACTGACAGATAGTTCAAATGTCGTCGGTGATTTGCTGACCAATGTGCAGAGTATACTGATTTTATGGAGCGATTACTTCTACGACCTGATAAACTACAATGAAAGTGAAACATCTAGAGGAATTATAATAACGAAATTCAAGTTGCCGTTGCCCGCTTAAAGAAAAACAAATCGACGGAAGTCAAAGGCTGTCCGATTCAATGGAAAAAATTTGGTTAGATGAGTTCTTGTCTGGCAATAGAAATCTAATTATACACCACCCGATGAACAAGTAAGGGGACTGCACGTTTGTCAACGGACTGTTTGTATCTCACAAGACCTGATAAGCTTACCACTGATTACCTAGAAAAGACTTATGTGAAATCGATCTGCACACTCCGCTTTTTTAGCAGCCTTCGAATACTCGCAGAGTAGCTTTTGCTGACTTTGCTACCTCAGAGAAACTTATATTTTATATATTAACAATAAACAACAACAAAAAAATTCCGAACAAGATCAAACGACTTTTTCTACCTATAAGATACTAGGTGGAGGCAAAAACAAACCTCCTCGGGAATAAAAAAAAATTTTTTTTGTTTTAAGTTTCAATTTTTTTTATTTATTTATTCGATGAGTGCATAAGTTCGTGCCCGATTCCGCTGGATGCCGTTCGAATCGTTTGAGAGTGGCGCTTGTGAAAGAAATATATATATATTATAAATCGTTAGAAAGGTGACAGTCCGAACTGTAAATCCTGCATAAAATAACTTCATTTTGATTTGAGTTGCTTAGTGAAAAGACGCATGGAAGGTGGACAACGAAAAAGATCATATGCATCATATTATGTTATACGAATTCCGCAAAGGAAAAACAGTAGGCGCTGCAACTAAAGATATTCGCGAAGTTTATTTGGACCGTGCTCCAGCACTCCGCACAGTAAAGAAATGGTTCGCGAAATTTCGTTCTGGAGATTTTAACCTCGAAGATCAACCTCGCAGTGGACGGCCTTCTGAGCTTGATGACGATGTTCTAAGGACTTTAGTTGCGAATAACTCACGTATTTCGACGGAAGAGGTTGCCAGTGAATTGAACGTCAACAAATCAACTGCGTTTCGTCGTTTAAAAAAGGTTGGGTACACTTTGAAGCTCGATACATGGGTGCCACATCAGTTGAGTGAAAAAAACAAAGTGGACCGTATGTCAACAGCAATTTCTTTGCTTCGACGGATCAAAAACGAACCTTTTTTGGATCGGCTCGTGACTGGTGATGAAAAATGGATCCTGTACAACAATGTTCAACGCAAAAGAACATGGAAACAGGCACACGAAGGGGCGGAACCGATGTCGAAAGGTGGATTGCATCCGATGAAGGTACTGCTGTGCATTTGGTGGGATATCCGAGGCGTGATCTATTTTGAGCTCTTGCCAGCTGGAGAAACGATCACTGCCAACAAGTATTGTCAGCAATTGGTCGAATTGAAGAAAGCAATTGATGAAAAACGTCCGATTTTGGCCAATCGCAAAGGAGTTCTTTTCCATCATGACAACGCCAGGCCACATGTTGCAAAACCGACCCTGGCCAAACTGAAGGAGATGAATTGGGAAATCATGCCGCATCCCCCATATTCACCCGACATTGCACCTTCTGATTATCATTTGTTTCGATCGCTGCAGAACAATTTGAATGGAAAAAAATTTAAAAATGTGGAAGACGTCAAAAACCACCTTGACACCTTTTTCAACGAGAAACCGCGCGATTTCTATGAATCAGGCATCCGTAAATTGGTTGAACGTTGGGAGTGGATTGCCGAACATGATGGCGAATACATAATTGAATAATAAAAGCGCTTTCTTCAAAAAATTTCAATTTTAGTTCGCACTTGAAATGGGGCACGAACTTATGCACTCATCCAATATATATATTTTTTAATTTTAATTTTTTTTTTAATTTTTATTTTTTTTATAATATTTTTTTATTTTATTCAAAGTAATCCTCTTTTAAAACACGATACACTTATTTCAACGATTTTCCAACTTCTTGATGCCACCCTAAAAGTAATTTTCCGAAAGATCTGTCAAATCTAGCGCCGATGATTTCCTCGTGTGAGCTGATTTTTTTTATTGATCAGCCATTTTTTTAGGGTTTGGGAAGAGATAACAATCCGGAGGAGCCACGTTGGATGCGGAATCAATTGGCGTCTTAATTCATTGATTTTAGCCATGGATGCGATGCACTTGTGCGCCGGCGCTTTGTCTTGCGAAACAACATTTTTTGTCAATATTCAACATGATGCCAAACACGTCAACAACAATCAGCTGTCAAAGAAAAACCAAGTGCAGTCTAGCACAGAAATTTGGCATTTTTGCCTAAATATGAAACGACTATAAGGCACTAGATCCTTTTTTGTAGTAACAGCGCAATCTGACGGTCAAGGAGGTTACTTTTCACTCCACCTAGTATATTGCTGGAGATAATAACATGAGCTGTAGAGCTTAACAGAGAAGAACATTTTCTATGAAGAGTGAAAATTAGTAGCGGTGACCGATGAAATTGGCTTATGACTGAGATTTATATGCTTAAAATACACTAAACAGATGTTGACAGTTGCAAGTTACAAATTCCCTTGGTATTCCGTAGCCCTGTGATATAGGGTTAGTTTGGTGGTCTACTTTTTTAATAAGATAGACAAGAGGTTTCTTCAGCACAATTAAAGGCAAAAACTACAAATATCAACCCTCGTAGGAACTGCATTTAACAGCTGGCATTAAACACGCATTTGACAAATGTCGGCTGTCATACGCATGTCGGGCAGCTAAGCATTCGAGCTATAAATTGTGTGATTTCGTGTATAACATATTAAATATATATATACATATATGTAAGTATGTGTGAAAATAAACAATAACAATCTCGACAGCAAGAATGGTGGATATGGGAATGTGTGTAAATAAGCATTTAATATAAAATGAAATATGCCTATATATTTATATAAAGCTATTTGTGGATCTATGTAAATACTATACGATACAATAAAACACATATACATACATTTGTATGCGTAAGGATATATGTAACTTTGAATACATATTCAAGTGTCGACTTTAGGTGATTTCAGGTGAAAAAGGTGCTTTGTTAGTGTGTTTGTGTGCGTGTGAAATTACACGTATGTGTAAATACATATAAATACGTACGTGTGTAATGCTTGCTATTGCTAAATATACTAATAATACTATAATATGTTTATATATTGTACACATTTATGTACACACTATACTACATATATACATACGATTGTCCCAGATATCTGTGGTGAAGCTATGTATGTAAATTACCTTTGAGCTATGAAATACACTATACGCGTACATAAAAATATACATAAAATATATACGAACATATAAAATACATATTTACAAATTAACTGGTAACTAGTTAACCGTTAAATGGTCAACAGCGCATGTGAGTTATGCTATGTATACTTTTAGGGGCAAGCGAATATGCCGTAAACCGCTCCGAGGTAGTCGATTTTATAGGATAAATTCAAAAATTTTTGGAATTCAATTCGGACATTCAAAAAAAAACAAAAAAAAAATCCCTGTCTAAAAACTGAAGTTCCAACAATATATACGCTCGACTTGGTTAGCTTCGGCACTTTTGGGTACAAATTCAAAAATACACTTTCTGAATTTGTATGAAGTCACGCAAATAGTGAAGCGGAAGGACGGATTATGTGCCAGAACTATCACTTCCCACTCTAGAACTTATAGTGTTCAAAGTAACCAATAACTAAAAAAAATTGTTCAATATTTTAATGTGAATATTTTACTAAATCTATAACTTTGTGAGAATAATATTTAATTTTTTTACTGTTCTAGGTGTTGCAGTGATTAAAGGAAATAATCAACTAATAAATAAATTAAAATAAAATAATTTTATAAATTTTTCAACTACCTATAACATCTTGTCTATTGCCCAGAAAACAATTTTAAGACGTTTACAAAAAAAATATTAATAATATCTAATTTTAATAACAAAACGTTTAAACAAATGTATACAGAGATAGTATGTATGTATGTGTGAACAACAACAATTTTTGCAATGCGTGACTACTCTGCTTAAACGAGTGTGTAATATCTGCTAACACACTTTTTCACAATTTACTTGAAGCATTTTTTTGTTTTTGTTTTTTTTTTTTTTGCTGATTTTTGTACAAAATGGATTCAAACTTGTTACCTTTGGCAATGGCTTAGGCAACACTGGTTTCGGTGGTGATAATGGTTGTTGTTGCAATTTGCTTGTATGCCTCAACATTTTTATATTTCCCGGCGTTAGACCTAATGTTGTTGTTATAGTTGTTGCTAGACTTTTTGTTGTGCTTTTTAAATTTGAATTTGCCCTTTGTTCCATGGTAGTAGTAGTAGTGGTAGTTATAGTTGTAGTTGTAGTGGTATTGGTATTGGTATTCGTATTTGTATTCGTATTCATATTGGTGTTGGCGGTAATAGCCTTATTACTCTAAGCATGCAAATTAGTAATAAATATACATATATTGTTTTATATTGTAATATTTTTTTTTTTATAATATACATAAATACCAGTTTATATTCATTACACATACATATATGCACATGTAAAAATATTTGTTAATAAAACACCATAGTTAGCTTATATATGCTATACATATGTACATAAATATATATCCACATAAATATGTATGTTTTTATATAGAGTGGTATAGTGTTAATGCGAACGTTTGTATATGAGTTTGATACTCTATGTCATCTGTTGGCTATTGTAAGGGTATGTAAGAATGTTGCTACATAACATATATATATATATATATATATATATATATATATATATAATATTAAGACCGAAGATGTTAAAAATGAAAATAAACTTAATAACATGATTTCATTTCGTTTCAGCGCCAAGTTATCGATAATCAATGAAATAAATAATAATAAAAACGTACAAACTCCACGTTAATGTTAATTTTATAATAAAATGTCTGTTTGCTATGATACTAACAGCGCAATTCAATTTTAACGTTTGAGATTATCTCTTAGCGGCATTACATTATCTATTAACGTTTTAAGATTATGTGTTAACGTTTTTACATCAGTTCTTAGGGTTTCAATATTACCTGTTAACGATTAAACATAATCTGTTAGCACTTTAACATTATCTGTTAACGCTGCTACATTATCTGTTAACCCAGTAATATTACATGTTAACGGTTTAACATTATCTGTTACAGCTTTAACATTTTCTGTTAACGCCGCTACATTATCTGTTAAGGCTATTACATTATTTGTTAATTAATATTATCTCCAAACGCTTTAATATTTTCTGTTAACGCTTTAATACTGTATGGTAGCAGTTTACCATTATCTGTTAACGCTTTAAGGTTGTCTGTAAACGTTTTAACATTCTCGCTTAGCGCTTTAATATTATTTTTCAAGGTTTTAACATTATCTAATAACGCTTTAACATTATCTTTTAATGCTTTTATATTATATGTTAGCGGCTTAACATTATCATTTAATGTTTTTACACTATCTGTTAACGCTGTAACATAGTCTGTTAACCCAGAAATATTACCTGTTAAGGCTTTAGCATTATCTCTTAACGCTTTAACTTTATCTTTTAACGCGTTAACATTAACGACAGCATTTTGTATCGGGTGATGAAAATTATTTTAATTACATTTGGAAATGCTAACGCCAAATGTTTCAAGCGAATTGCTAAAATTTTATGATTAACGTGAAGTTTATCGTTACGTAGCAGCATTGATTAAAGACATTATATGGTTAAAGTATTTTTATACATATTGTACTTACAAATATAATACATAAATATTATATACAAATACAATACGCAGTTGGATAAGGAACTATAATTGAAATCAATCTAATCTAATTTTCGTTATATCGTTGTATGAATGAATGAGCAGTGTTGCTCTTCTGAATGGATCTCAAAGAGTTAAAATATTAAAACAGAAAAAAAATATTTAATTTTTCTGGGCCAAAAATGGGGAAAATAATATTATTAAAAAGGAAATAAAAAATGAAAAAAAAACTAAAAAATATAAGAAAAACAGAAGAACTAGTAAATTAATATGCATAGAAATTCGCAGCAGAAAAGAAGTTTTGTATGGAAAATATTTTTTTATATACACACTTTACAGATTTCATATAAAATTGAAGACAAAATCAATATATGTATATATACATATAAATATATTCACTGCAAGTACGCTTACATTATTTTGTAATAAATATCTTACAGCTTTTCAGTGCCATGTCATTTCCATGTTCGAATTTATACAATCTCTTTCGTATATGAAAACTTTTAAGTATTCACTGTAAGCGTTTTTGAAGAATGAAGGAAGCCATTTTTTATTACGTATTCATTGAAATATTGTGGGTGCTTTGTTAGTGTTAAAAGATACATACTGTTGCTTGCACAGGTTTTACTTGTACTACTAACAATCCCTTTTGCCTTGTCTTATTGCAGTTTATTTATCCGTACAGTAAGACACAGAGTCTTCTTACCCTCCTTTTGTATAAATCAATACAGAAGTATTTTGCAATATTCTTTGATTTTGCATAAGAAATGCATTGGCAGAGGTAACAATGAATAATGCATTTCCAAATAGGCAGGTGGAGAAAACGTGCCAGGGAATGTGTTATTAATAATATCAAAGAATTTATGCGTAAATTCCCCACCACCGGAGGTACTCAATATGCACATACATACATACGTATATAATGCGATAACTTCAATTTATAATATATTATTATATTTATGTATTGCATTCATGTAAATGCTTTCAACTCACTATAATCATGGCACAAGAGAGTAGTAAAACTTTTAACTGAAAAAGAAAATTGAAGTAATAGTCTTGCACGTAATACCGTTATGCCACGATCATAAAAACCCTTGTTCCTTTTAGCAAAAAATTTAGACGATCGATTATCATAGGTTTCTCATGAGACCAATTCTTCACCAAATACTTGTTCACTCGTCATAGACAGGAACAGCTGGTAATTACTTGTTGTAAGGTGCTGACTATAAGGTAGATGCCAAGAACCTCCAAAGCAAGCTCTCACAGTTTCTGGTGAGTCACTGTCGATGTTTGTGGCTTGACGTTGTCATGATGAAACATATTTCCCCTCCTGTTGGCCAAAGATGGGCACTTCTGTGCGTGTACGTGCTTCAGAACACCCACTTGCTGATAATACAGATCGGATTTAAGACTTGAGATTCCTTGCCAATCCCAACAAACGCAAAACAAAACATTGCATGCCGTCAATCCTGACTTGGAGAGCGTTTGTGCCGACTCACTGTCCTTCCATCAAGACCGTTTTCATTTTTTTCAATCGGAGAAATGCTTGCATGACAGTCAGATGATTTCCATTATTTTAACGACGTTTCGAATTCCTTACCGTTGAGTATTTTTTACAACAAAATTATCGGAACGAAAGCGACGAAACCCTAATTGTGCATGATTGATTGTTGCAGTATCCGGACCATAAACTCTGTTCGTAATTTCAGCTGTGTAGCTAGCGTTTTCGCCTTTATCAAAGAAAAATTATAGAATTTTTGTAGCGTATTTTCTCTTTGCTAATGTCCATTTTTGAGTTACTCTCAAATATTTCTGAGTTATGAGGTATGACAATTAAGTAATGAAGCTGATTATATTGACGCGATCGTGGTAACCCTGCGACCTTGAACCTTTTCCTTCTCTCGGCATCCATTTCCTCTCCATTGATATATTTGCCAACGCTCTAGCTTATTTAGTTCTCCTGCTATGTCGTGCTGAGTAAAAGTGCGTTCGTGGTGCTCGTCACGAAAATGGAAAACCGAAATCGGGAGAAACGCTTCGTGATAAAACTTTGCGCCAATTTGGACGAAACAGCTTCGGAAAGGTACGCTAAAATCGTAATAGTGCATGGTGGTGTTTATTTCAGCGCGCTTTTCACTTTTTTCTGCTGATTTTAATCGTAACTTTGAGGCAGGAGAGTGATATGCCCACATTCTGTTCACAGTGGACACTTTTTTATTACTAATTTTTCTATTTTAGTAATTTTTATCATTTTTGGGCACTTTCCACACAACAGTTCCAACTGATATTATGGTTAGCAGAGAGGAGATTACTTTTTGAAGATCAAAATCGAGGAAATCAAAACTAAGTAAAAGTGATAAGGCCTTCTTAGCACAAAAGGTGAGATTATGCGTTAGGAGGAAAATTTTTTATTGTTAGAGAGTGTTTTTTTATTTTTAGCATAGTGACAACCGAATTCGGGTTCAAAACTAACTAGTTTCATACTAGTTCGAAATTCTTTCAAAATTTAATTACTTCAATTTAGTATAAATATTAAAAAAAAAAATAATTTAAATTAATTATTTTATATTAGTATATACAAAACTGAAGACATTAACCTTAACATGCTAAAAATGCTAAAAAAAATTTTTTTTGAAGTCATATTAAAAAAAAATTAAATAATGATTATATAATTAATATACATACATATATGTATAATATAAACACAAGCTTAGTATTCGCATATTTTAAGGACTAATGGTAAGATGAAAGATGACTTGGAGTTAACATAAATATTTATACATACATATATATATAAAATTAATATTACACATATACCATTATATGAGTCTTATTATTCACCAAGGAATTCACCAATATATTGCATGCTAATATTGTAAGATATATATATATATATAAACTTTTTATAATGTATATGTATGAATTATATGTATGTATGTCTGTCTATGTTATGTGTCGCTTATAGTTTCAGCACTAGTGAAAACAAAATAATGGCGGTATGAAGCATGGCCAACTAGTGGTTGCTGCTTTATAAGAATGAGTTTGGAACATGTACACACACATACATATGTACATGTAAATTTATTTACTTATGTATGAATTTATGCTTTTTCAATTTTTTTTTTTCAATTCAAACACTCACCTTAATTGAGGGCGGTCCACTTGAATGTGAATCATTATCTGCCAAAACCGATGGATTATTTTCATCGACGACAATAATTTCATAGTCACCATCTTGAATGGTACGCGTGCCTGTGTGTGGTGTGATGTTGATGATAGTTGTTGTTGTTTATTAGTTTTTTTTTTAAGTTGTTTCCATTAAGGTCGTCAATAGCATTGACATTGTCGTTACCAATTACATAACAAAAGGATTCCATTGACAGCGGAGAGTTCCAGTGGAGTATGTATACATATAAGCATTGTTGTGGCACGTAGAAAATTAGAAAAAAATAGTAGAATCATGTGAAAGTTTTTATAGGTTTTTATTTCATTTTTTTTTTAATGTAGCTATTTAAGAAACTACAACAACAACAACAATTGGAAAACATTAACAATAAAATCGAATAGAAGGAGTTAGAGTTGAATTGTAGATGGTAAATAGATAGTTACTTATGTAAAATATATTTTATATATATATTATATAAATTTGGAAGTAACGTAAGGTAACGTTACTCATATATACAAACATATGTACATATGTATGTAGAAAGCAGCTTAATGTTAATAATATTATTTGCAGCTGTTAAGAGAAGTTCTGCTTACATACAATAAATATATAATAAAATACGTATATAATATGTATGTATATATATAGTTGCTACCCTGCAGGGAAAAATACTAAATGGTTGTTAGCTAGTATTCAACCGACTAACTCATCCTTTCCCCATTTCTCATGTAAACCATTGGTATTTTTTAACGCAACGATGTCCTACGAACTGTCAATTGTCTGACTATGAATCAGCTTCATACTAGTTGTATACCAGTTCATTTATGCATATTAAACTTGAAAGAAAAAATTATAATAATAAAAAATAGTAATAAAAATTAGTTTGCCTGCAACCACAATCGAAATTTTAAATCTCACTCGTTGCCGCGAAAGCCACTAAGCCACCCAAAGTTTGGGTTATATGGAGAGACGAAACTTCGTACATTTTTCGATCGCCGTGAAACACCTTTCTCGGAGCGCAATACGGAAATTGGTGGAAAAAATGGCGCTGTTGGGACAAGTTAGTGTTGTGAAAAGTAAAGTACAAGTGCAACTGAGGCTGTTGCTGCTGTAGCGCGAAGTGTTACAGAAACTCCAGGTATTGCTATGTATCGTCACTCTCTGCATTGAACATTCCACAACCGTTATTACAACGTATTTTGCATAAGGACTTGGGTCTTAAGACTCACAAAGTTCAGTTTCCAGAAGAACTCAGCCCGGTTAATCATCAACAATGTCGTGTCTTTGATGATTGGGTCGTTGGCCGTTGCATGAAAATCAACCGGAATTTCAACGAAAAGTCATTTCCATCATAATGAGGTCCATTTCCACCTCCATTGCTATGTCAATAAGCAAAACTGTCGCATTTGGGCTCGGAAAACCCAAGATTTATTATTGAAAATCCGCTACATCTTCAATGTGTAACTATTCTGTGCAATGCGGCAGGGTCATTGGACCTTACTTTTTCGAAAATAAGACTTTGAAGCAAAAGTTCGAGGGGTGACTAATGATTTTTTCTGTGTCCGAAATTGGTTGGTTTTAATCTGAACAACGTTTACTTTTAAGAAGACACCGCTAAGTGCCGCACAAGTAACAAAAATATCGAAATTTAAAGGGAAAAGTTTCCGCACGGTGTTGTTTCTCGAAGAGCTGATCGCATTTATATACCGAGATTTTGTGATTTAAGAGAGATTTTGTGATTTAACACCTTGCGGCTTCTTTCTTTGCTGACACGTGGTAGATAAGGTCTAAGTCAACATATAATACCAACGAGGACTCAAGGCCTCGCAGATGGAATTCGTGAAGCTATTTGTGATTTGGTGTTGGAAAATATCATAAGAAAAGTACGGTGCTGTAAGAGTAGCCGTGATAGCCCTTTGTCTGTTACTGTCTTCTATTATTATAGGCATATCTTTCTCCACGCATTAAAAGAAACAACCGGTCATTGAACTCAAAAAATACCATTTTTCTTCGAATATGAAAATGACAACTCTAACTGGTTAACCAATATAACCATGATTTTGAAAATTGATATGCAAATAATCAACTGGTATTATATAAGCTTCAAGATACTGGTATTTAACTAGTGTTTTTGGGTACTGTTTTAGTTTGACTTTTCCCTGCAGGGTAGTTGCTAGTTGTGCTTAAGTAGTTAAATATCTATATATTTAGTTTTCTTTGAGCACATCAAAATGGCAAGCTTAGAGAGCAAATACTCTGTGAAATATAGAAATAGCAAGAAATTTCGAGATTTCTAAGATAGTAGATATATGTTTAAGTAGTTGATAGTAGGAGGTTATGGCAAAAGGTTTTTTTGTTTTAATAATATTTATTATAAATTTTTTATGCTAAATTTAATTTTATTTGTATTTTTAATATAAATTTGTTTCTAAAAGTTTATTTTTTAAGCTTGCACATTTAGTAATAGAATTTTTCAGAGACAAAGAAAAGTCGAGAAGATATTAAATAGTTGATAGTGCGCGGTTTTCAAAAAATATGAACATTTAATTTTTAATAATTTAATCAAATTTTTTTTGTTATTTTTAGCGAGATTTACGGTGTTTTATTTGTGTTGCATACACTTTGAGTTTTTATTTATATATATGTATATGTTGAATTTGATTTATTTGAGCAGTTTCGATTACAGGGAAATCAATCAAAATATCAAAGATAATTATTTAATATTAAAATATTAATTTTTAGATATTAATATTAAATTATAGTAGTAGTAGTAGTAGTAGTAGTAGCAGTAATAGTAGTAGGGGAGTAGAATGTATGTATTATTTTATCAAGTTATTTTATAAATGCTATTTTACATTTAAATATGGAAAATTTTAAACTGATTTTATTTATGCGTATGCATTAAAAAACCCAAATTTCCAATTAATTAAATAATTTTTGTTCTTTACTGCTATTTTCAGCGAAATTCTTTAGCTATTGGCTTTTATTGCATCAACTTTAATTGGAGTTAAAGCAGTTGTTAGTATTGAGCAGATTTAATTAAAAATACAGGAAAAATAATTATTCTATTTTAAGGCATACTACATATCATTTCATTAAGTTTGAGGGCAAAATAATGTACTGTTAAACAAAATTAGTATTTCTCTTTTGCATTTCACGCTTGTTTTCCTCTCTTTGACTACAAGTATGCATATACATGTACATAGATAGATACGGTTAGTTGATTAATTGTTGTTTTTATAATTAATTAAATGCGCTTTTCGTACGTAAGATGCTAGCAAATTATATTAATATTTAAAAATAAAAATATAAATAAATAAAGCAGATTAATTAAATAAAATAAATTAATGTATAATAATAATTAATATCAACTTAAATTGTGCACTGAAGCGTTTGGCAAATCATAATTAATGATACTACAAACAGCTAACTAACTACAAATATTGTTACTAGCATTATTTTATTTACAAAAATGAGGTTATGTTAACTTTTATGTTAATAAAAAATTATTCCTTTTTTTTACATTTTTACCCTTTATATAACACGAGGGTATTAAGGTAATAAATTTTAACCATTTTACTGTGAAATAAATACCATAAATCACCTATTTGGCAGCTGATTATTACTGAAATAAACTCTAAGCTTTCCTCCCACGCTTATGTTGTTTTAATATAAAAACTAAATTCTGAAATTACCACATAGAGGGTTAATCATTTCAATGCTTTCAAAAGCACAGCGTTGTATTTTGACACCTGTCAAACGTAACTTTCAAACCAAACATGTTTTGTTTTAGAAAAAAACCTTACATTTATGATAATGGTTCACTCAGCAACCACAGAACGCGCTAAAATTGTTAAAACTCACCACAAAAATGGTTACTCAAACGCAGTCTTGCTTTAAGAAACAGATTTTGGTGCACAGAATCATCCAATTACTCAAACAATTGAATAACTTTTACAGAAGTTTGAGGCAACTGAATCGATCGGGTGCTTAACCAACAAGTGAATGGTGATTTTTCAAACAAAATATCCTTCCACGACGAGGTACACTGCACACTCGTGAGATATCTAAATAGGAAAAATTGTCGCATATGGGGCTCCGAGCATCATCAAGTAATCGAAGCGAACTACATTTAGTGAAAAACGTACTTACTGTCGTTGCGCTCTTTGGTCCGCAGTCAAGCTGCAGCTTACTGCCTTTAAAATAACAAAGACAAAACTGGCATTGTCGATTCGGAGCGTTATGGTCGTATGATAGCCAGCTGATTTTTGTATTGCAATTGAAGAACACGACTTGGATAATACATAAGTGGTACCAAATGCCACACTACACAAGCGAACTAGTTTTTATGGGTAGAAAAGTCAACTCCTCTAACTGTATGTCTCAACTGAAATAAAAACTGCACATCAAAAAAGCAGCACGTTTTGAAAAGTATGTGTTTCGCGCGTTTCACTCAACTTATGGTGAACATATTCGGCCTACCGAGTGTATTATGCGCAACGCCATTACCCATCTTGAGACCTAACACTTATTATTGGACAATGTTCGACGGAAGAGACCACGTTTAGCACGCAATGAAGAAAATACAGTGGTCGTAGCTGAGAGTGTACCCGAAGACCGTGGCGAGTCGTTTCAATTCGGAGTGATGTATGGAACGACTTGCAACATTTTATATCGAGAACTCAATTTGAAAGCGTAGAAAATACAATTTCTGCAAGAACTAAGCCAACTCGACCTTTCCAAGCGACATCGATTTCTATGCTCTAGTTCCATGAAGATTTGACGTTTTCGAGCCAAAATTTTTTCAGCGATGGGGCCCTAATTCTGCCTTAATGGGTATTTAAAAAAGCAAAAGCATTGATTCAAAAGCTGCCATTTCATGCAGAAAAAGCAACGGTTTCGTATGGTTTGTGGGCCGGTGGAATCATCGGTTAATATATTATTTTTAAAAATTAAGCCGGTGAGAACGTAACGAACGAACGTTATCCCGCCATGAGAACCGACTATTTGATGCCGTCTATCGCATAAGTCAAGGAATGTAATGAGTGAACCTTTCAGTTAGTAGATTATTTCACGTTTGGGGCCG